AAGTAAGTTATTTTTCTGAATTTATTGACTCATGAGTTGATCAGGCCACTTAGCTCCGAGTGTCGTAATTTGATAAGTGTATTTTTCGCAATTTCCATAAATTTTTCCGTAAGTCGTTCACGCTCGTTCGTTCAGTCAGCGATGACGTCATTTGAAATGTGATTTCTTTATCCTGTTATAGTTTTCACCGCTTTCTTGAATAAACTGGTTACTCTAACGCAACTGTGTACGAGTTATTTGGGAAGTGGTTGACACCAGTACGAGTACTAATGCACTTGGACCTCGGAATAATCGTATTAAGTCTAAGTTAAGTCTGACACCAGCTCATTTATCTTGGCTTATGAAGAACTTGAAGGTAAACCCAGTAATGATTTAAAATTTTTACAAGCAGCATTACATTTTAATAACAGTAAAAATAGAAGTAAACCATGTAAATAATGCAGATTGCTGACATGTAAAGGCTGGAATGAACATGTAAATAAAGTACAATATAAATGTGATTAATGCCTGTTTATGTTTATTGTGTAATAGTTCGTGCAAAAAAATATTTTAGAAAAATAAAGTGCAGTAGCGGCAGGGACCCCACATATTTTTAAGGGACCCACACATTTTATAAGGGGTGGGTCCCAGGGACTCCACATTATCGAACACTAATGCAACCCCTGTACTGAACAATAAAGAGGTGTGAATATTTTTAGGCACGTTGTCTAAACAAATGAATAGTATTAGGAACAATGTACCAGCTGGTTGAAACAAAGTCAGTCACGGTCTTGTTGAATTGGGGGTGTGGTTAGTAATAGGTACTTTTCATGTTTTCAATTTTTGTTGAGAACTCTTTAACACTGAAGCCGAAATCGGGGGTGCGGTTACTATTAGGTATGCGGTTTATAATAGGATTTTAACGGTACTTAATAAGTAAACACTCCTCTCAGTGTTTACCACTAATATCAAACAATTGATGGTCTAGAGGGTCTGTAAGGGACATCAAAAATTCAATGTAGGATAAAAAACTTAATTCCTTTAGTTTTTTCCCAAAACCCCCCACTGAAACTTAATTGATAAATATTGATCATGGCGTCAGACTATATTCACCAGTAAATACAAATTGATAATCAGACAGTAGTATGGCATAGCAGTTGGTCGTCGGGTTGGTGTAAAAAGACGCACATATTTACACTTGGACCAAACCATTTTCTCGTCTTGGATGTGTTTTTTTTACTTTCTGTTATTTTTGTCCATGATTGGATAGAAAAAAAAACGAACTACAAATACTCCAAGATTTTTTTGACTTCATTAAAAAATAAAATCGTTTTTGTAGGATGGAAACTTTTTGAGGTCAAAACCCCCCACCCCCAAACTATAAAGCAAATAAGTTTTTTTATCCGACATCGATCTTTTGACGTTGTCCCTAAGTTGATCAAGTTGTTGCCCACATTTAACCAGTATTGTTCATTTTTACGGCCATCAACAGACTCAAGTTTAGCCAGCATGTTCTTTAACTTGTCAGCCATATGATACCATTTTAAGCCTTGGAGCTGGGGGTTTGGCACAGTTTTGAACATGGTATCTCTCCAATTTTCATTCGATTTTGTGGTATAAGGGGATTTATACCACATGAATTGTTTTTAAACTACAAACATGCTATACATGTTTAACAAGGATACCTACTTTGATGGTATTTCCATGAAGTTTCAAGTTTTTCAGTTTCTGTAATGCTTTGTGACTATCTTGTCGTTGTTCCATACACACAAATGCACAGCCCCTGGGTGGTATTATCTACAGGAAAAAAGGAGAAAAAAATTATTCCAAGCCATGTTGCTAATTAGTAATATTAAGCAGTTTTTGCTTCACTCGTATATTCCTTGCTGTAATTTGCATATTCATTTACTCTTTTCTCACTTATTCTTCAGTCGGGCCACTCCATCCTTGCTCGATTACACATTTTTTGTCCTTTCTCACCTAATTTATACATATTACTGACTCACTTACGCCTCTCTCACTCCCTGTTCTAATTTACATACCACTGCTCACATTTACACATACTGTAGACTCACTCCATGTTCTAATTCAGGCACCATTGCTCTAATTTACATATACTGTCAATTGCTTTTATTCTAATTCTAATTACTCAAAGACTCCTCAAACTCACTCCACTCATCACCAACTAACCAAACCACTTCTCACACCTTGTAATTCACTCATTCTATAATTACTTTTTGCTCTAATTACATTCACTACTGACTCCTTAATACCTCCTCAATAGAATAGCAAAATATTATAATTTACAAATATATTCTACTTCCGATACTTACATCAATTGACTGTATCTGACCAAACTCTTCAAAGATTTCTTTGATGTCTTTTTCACCAGTTGCCTTTGCCAGATGACCAAGAAATATTGTAGTGGAACAAACTGCAACAAAAACAAATTTAAAAAAAAGGTTTAGAAAAAAACTTGTGTGTGCTGAGGATATTGTAGACAAAGTATGAATGAGAAATACTACAATTATCGTATAAATTATGATTTATACAATCAGCAAATGAAAAAATGGGGATGATAGACAGTGTGCTTCATTAGTTTTTTTAAAAAAATGCAATGTCCGTCAAATGACGTAAACTTCCCCATGTTTCACGGTAAAAGCAAAAGTCGTGGCCGAGTTGTACGCTAAAAAAATCAAAACAAAGTCATCAATCAGTAAGTATTATGACAAGGAAAACAAAACATCAAGACGCGGAGGAGAGGTCAGCACAAAATTAGGTCAAAAGACAAAGCTGTCTCGCACTACCTAGGAAATGTTCAAAGTACAGGTACCCATTGGACAAAAGATACATGGAAGTTTAGCAAACTATCTCCCCGACCCAGTGCAATGTATCCGGTTAGAATCAAAGCTCGCGTGTCCCTTATTTGAGGGACCAGATTCTGCCGTAAATTCGCCCTTGGATTAAAAAAATAAAATGGGATTTAAGAAAATAAAATGGGACTTTTAAGGTGTATTTTGGCGTCATTTTTCGGACATTTCAATCATTCCTGCCGGATAAAAAATAGAGTCTAAGTTTTACCATAGTCATTGACGTCTATTCAAGAGTACACGTGTATGATTTTTATCGTGACTAGCGTGAGCGGGTAAGCTTCGTTTCGAGAATGAGCTGTTATCACTGTGAACAATGTTAAATTATTCTTCAGATGCCCAGTTTATTTTTTAAAAACAACTAATTTTTTTATTTAAAAAAAATCATGCCGTTTTCGCATCAAAATCCAAGCCAAAAGATCGTACTACAACATCAATCTCTTCTGCATTGCGTTCAATAACATTAACATATTTAAATAAGCTATGATAATTTGAACATGTTGGCATCATCCAGCTTTTTGATTGGTTAATTAGCGATTTGACCTAAGAGAACATAGCGGATATCCTACAGCATCAAACATTTATACGAGACCGGAATCATTCACTTACGACAAAACTAAGTTGACTTTTATTTGTATTTCATAACAATTCAACGAATTTATTTTGTGTACATTATTATAATCACTACTGAGTAATAATCAACAATTCAGAAACGCAGCATGCTGAGATTTTTGTGTTCGTTTTTATTTGAAACTTCGTTTCTTTAGAATATATTTTCGTTACCAATAAAAAAAAAATCTTTCAGTCAATCAGAAACCCGGATTCATGCCTTCGGGGAAAGTCCCGTTTGCACGCTCACATCGTTGTTTTTTTTCGTTTTGGGGAAAACCAAAATTGGTCGCAATTTTCGAATAAGAATGAGTCGGCAATTTCTAATGGAGTCAAAAATTTGGAGGTAAATAAAAATACCGAAACCCGGCAAATAATTAGGCGTTTGAATTTTTAGAGGGGTCGAAATTTTGGAGTTTTTACGATAGGCGTCATTTTTCAGCATTTTAATCATTTCTCACAACCTACATTAGAGTCTAATTTAGGTTTTCCATAGTTACCCGGTATAGATGCTAGGATGTTTATTGTGACTAAGCATTAACGGGTATACATAAATAATATGCAAAAAACTACAACACCTTTTTGCTGGGAAAAAACACGTTGCTCTCGAGGTTTGTCCGGGATAGTAGTAACTTACCACTAATTGTTTTTTCTTTGATTGCTGGGAGACCTTTTTTCTGGCGTTCTTTCTCTCTTTCTCGTTCCCTACGCCTTTCCTTATGCCTGGGTGATCTAGATCGAGATCTGGATCGTGATCGCTTCCTCCTAGATCGACTCCTTGAAGTAGAACGAGATCTACGTCTGCGGCGCCTAGGTGATCGAGACCGAGATCTTGAACGACGTCTCTTACTTGGAGATCTAGATTTCATTCTTTTGTCAGAGTGGCGACTACTTGTCATTTCAGCTTCATCTGTTACTACTGCAGGTATCTCAGACTCGTCTTGCATTACGGTTTCCTCAACATGCATTGCTTCTGACTGATTATCATCTATACTGGTACTCTGCAACATGGCAAAAAACACAAAAAAAAGATTTAATTTTGTATTTGTTTATTAGTATCTCAATGGACATCAATGTTTTAAAAATTACAAAATGTGTTAGGATATTTTTAATCAGTCATTTCTGAAGTGTTTTCTGTTTTACCCCTAAAATATGGCAAATATTTATGAATATTCATGACGCTAGTTGCCTTTCCGTTAGTCCAGAATCTTGAGAAAAACTAAATCCAGAACATATTACAAGTTTTGGTCTTGAAAATTAGAGCCCTCATAAACTCTGAATTCAAGCCCTGTGTCACAAAACAACATATTGAAATAATTCAGCCATAAAGGCTCTTCATTAGCATGTAAATTTGTGTCTAATATAAATATGTTCATGTAATACCTGGTTGACTTGCTGACTGAAATGCTGTTCTAATAATTGGTGAGGGTCCAGTTGAGGCGGAGGCTGCAAATGGTGCAGTAGTTGTTGCTGGAATAGAGGATCTTGCAGATTGGTTGGAGCTTCAGTCTGCTGTAGAGTTTGTTTCAAGTGTGCCAATAAATCAGCATTGGCCAGGTTACCCATTATATCATCTGAGGTCGTGCTATGAAAAAAACAATATTTAAAGTTGTTTAATAGCTATAGTGGTCCTCTTGTCGTATTTGGCAGATGAGTAGGCAGTCATTTTGGCCTACTCGACTGACCTGCACATAACTTTTTTTAACAAGGGGTGTTCATCTCTCACATGACGACACACAGTCCCACAGGTGTAGAAACTGCCATGTGTAAAACAGCCTGAGCAGGTGCAGCTTTAATGCGTCAGTTTTCCCCGGAAACCACTACTTTTTGCGTCAGGAAGAAATTCTAGCCCCGCAGACCAGTAATTTTACTATTCCTGAAAGCCTTCAATGACCTACCTTGGTGGAGGCTGTGATACTGGTGGCCTCTGGTCAACCCCTCTATCTTGCGTATCTTCATCTTCATCCCCGTAATCAAAGTCCAACAGTGCCTGGATAGTTAATAAAATTGTCATAATTCAGCATATCATTGTATCATTTATCAAATTTCTGTATCTTGAACAATTTGTACAGGAAAAGTCTATATAGTGTTCAGACTGGTTCACATTCACTGAAATACTAAAAGCTAATAGAAAACTTGTACAAGGATTATTTAATTGCTGTGAAATTGTTGTAAAACGCCACCTCTTTGTTTAACCAAACAGTTATCGCAAAAAAAACCTAGTAAAATATTAAACTATTGTACTCGGGAGCTTGCAACATTCCTATCAATGTGTCTCAGTCTAACTTGTGAAAGAAGATGAACTGTGCCCCCCTAAAATGTACACAGATGAGTAATTTGCTATCATGATGTATTCATTGGAATATTCAATTTATAGTTCCCAAATACAGGCCATGTCAGTGTATTTTGCTAGAATTTGCTAGGATTGTAGAAGAATAAAAATATTCTTGTGGGCAAAAATGTGTATTCGCAGCACATTAACATGAATTAACAAGAAAGGACACAATCCCTTGACTGGGGCTAAGAATTTAGCTGATGAGTCAGACAGCAAGTTAGTTCCACTCAGTATATAAACCCATGGTGACTAACCTTATTAAATACCGGTTTTTCAGGCACATTTGTTGAATCAGTGGTTGGCTTGGAGACTGCAGCAGCAGTGGCTGCAGCCAACGACGCACTTAATGCCTGTATCTGTGCCATTAAGGAGTTATCTAACTGAGGTGTGGTCTGTTTCCTTGGTGACGGCTGACTCTGTTTCTGTATCTGTTGTTGCAGTGCTTGTAGCTGATGCAAGGTCTGCTGCTGTTGATGCTGGGCTTCTTGTGTTTGTTGGATCAAGCTCTGCAGAGACTGCATAGTTGGTTGCTTTGTATTTGGTGCATTTGGTTTCACTGCTTGTACATTTTCCTGCGTTTCATTCCAGCCTGACCAGCCTGCAGTTTCTGGTGGCTTTGTAGGTACTTCTACCTTCACAGTGGGGGCACTTTGACCTGCAACAGAATGAATTATTGTAAAATGATTTATTTTTCACAAAAGATAAACATTTGTATGTCAAACAAAGCCATGAAAAGATGTGGAGTCAACATTTAATTGGGACCAAGATGGCCAAGTCAACTACTTTCACAACCATTTTTTTCACAATTGCCTGTAGTAACTCAACAAATCTTGAAAATAAGTTTTGACGAAAATTGACAAGGTTTAGCTTTCTTATCATCATATCATATGTGTCAGTTTGAAACCTTTTATTCCCTAATTTCTTGAAACGATGAAGTTCATAGGAAATATTTGTTTTCTGTTTCAGGATGTTTTGATGATCCAAATTAACTTTAATGCATGAATTTGAAAGCATTATTTAATAATAATGTAATATGATTATATAATAATATTGACAAACTGGAGTGATGCAATGTGGTAGAATAATACAACCCTTGACAACACAAGTATCAACCAGCTCTATGAATAAGTGGTATCAGGTGATAACATTTTTATCACATGACCAACTCTGAATGTCAAAATGACAGAGAAAACATGACTGTAAAAAGTTATATGCATGCTAATCATACACCAATTTATGGTAAAGCCCTGAAGTGGTGAAGCCTTAATGCAACAATGAATGCACAGTTGCAATTCCAGCCACTGTTGGTTTTCAAAATCGGCAAAAATATTATCCATCTGAGATATTGTTTTTAAAATAAACTTCCAGTTGCAATCATTATGATTCAGTGTCACTGTACCATGCAAGTAACCAGGTATCCTCGCATACTGTTGCAGCACACAGAGACTGGTGATGTTTATTATAAATATTAAAAATGAAATATACATTTTATACTGAACGTCACGTCACGTCTCGTCTGTGCATGACATGCAGCATGGTTATGTGTTAAATGTTAAACACACACCATACATTTATTTGCTCTATTATCAGTGTTTGAGCTTCCTTGAATTACAGGTGTGTTTCTATGGTCAAAATGAGAAGTATTTTAATGGTTCAGTATACAACAAATGCAACTATTATTCAAATATAGTATCTTTTGCTATTGAATTTACCATGCTTTGATCACAGGGTTCATAGCACCAAGAGCCAAATGATTTCCAAGACTTTTCCAGACCTTTTCCCAAACTTTCTTGCATTTTTCAAAGACATTTTGACCCTTAAATTCAGGCCAACATTATCACCAAAGCTCATCAAAGTTCTGAGGATATGGTGGTAGTTCCCTGGATTAAACAAGCCTTTCTAAAAGGAATTAATAACTATAAAGAAATTTAAAGACTTTTCAAAGATTTTTTTATTTTTCCTGTAATTCCAACTCAAAGACTTTCGAAGGATTTCCCCAAAGCTATATGACCCTGGATCATAGAAATACAAAGCTTTAACTGGTATTACTTAGTGGAACACCACTGAGGTCGAGGTCACTGTTTTCTAAATCTCTTATTGACTTTTCACTCATTTTGACAACATGAGAGGCTCTTTACATGGATCACTGTCCACCAATTAAATTTTATATGTCCTTTTTCTTTGGAATATATTAACCATCAACATTCATTAGCATTCTCTATAATTTGTTAGTCTATTACAAACTAATTTGAGATGAAAACATTAACACATCTGTGATGAAATACCCCCAAAAGCACATGTGAATGAGAAGTTCAATGCTGTGTTTGAGTACAGCATGATTTTACATCCAAAGTGTGGACAATAGATCACATACACCAACCCAACTTAGTGCAACACAACACAGAGAAAAATCAACAGCCAGAGAGCTAAATTACATGGAGATTTAGACCCATGGTGGTTGTTCTGTTAATTTTTAACAAAGAGGAAACACAAGCAAGCAGAATGACATGAACTTGTCATGGCAAACTGGGAGTGCTCGCTCGGAAACCCTTAAAATATTACATCTCTCGAAGAGTGAAACCAAACTGTGCAACAGCAATGCCATTACCATGGAAACACTCTAGGAATGATGTGTGTACCTTGATCTTGACTTTGAGCAACATCAATAGATTCCTGACCTGTCAGTTCAGGGTTAGCCATGTCTAGTAATGGTTGGATGACATCGGCACCAAACACCCCATTCTTCTGCCACAAATTTAAGACTCTGACAACCCTAGCTTTATCATCTTGCGGACACTTGAATAAGTGCAGAAAGGTTGGAACAACATTCTTGGCGAATCTTGGTGCAAATACATCCTTGTCTGCTCCAAACTAAAAAAAAAAGTTCTTTTGTAATTATTGCATCAGGATACACAGAAAATTAGATGTCTAATAATCTAATGAACAATTTTGTTATCATGTTCATTTTGTACAGATAAATTGGTTCCAAACTATGTACATATCCTAGTCAAGGAATACTGCTAATTCTTACTACCTCCAATGCAGCATTTAATTTGACTGTAAAGACGCGACTTTTAAACTGCCAAAGTAGACGCTTTGTGTTCTATAGTACAAATCACACACAGCGCAGAATTTTGTTTGTGCAAGTGCAAAAAAAAAATGCAATGAACCATCAGTTCAGCTATCAAAGAAGTAGTCATTTCAACCATCCAAAAATCAATCCTGAGTGCTGAAGTTAAATCTTTCTCACATAGAACACAGAAAAACCATATCACTCAAGTGATGTTAGTCTTTCCAAAACCCAGGTAAATATGCATTTGAGCATGTGTTGGAAATTGGGACAAGTAATTTATTTGGTATCAAACAGAATTGTGTTATACACACAAATTTAGTTCCAGACTTTACTTTAGTAGCAGTTTATCAATTTCACTGCCAACACAGATTAGTAAGCAGCGATTATAGTTTAGTGATCTCGTATTGAGATACTGTCTGTAGCATTATACCGTGGATGTCTAAAGAAATGTCCTGCAGATGTCTGCACTGCGGTTGCAAGCTTGATGTGGATTCATTCTGTTTATAATATTTACAATTATCCATACATGCTGTCAAGAAAAAAAGATACACATACGCATGAAGAGCAGAAAAATGAAAAAAAAACAAAACTCACCTGATGTCTGGACTGTCTTACTATTGAGTCAATAACGTACAAACCAGGAACTTTATATTCTGGCCGGCACTGAGAAATAAGAGGCACAATAAAACGAGTCATATATGCACAGGTATTATTTTGCAGAGAAAGAATATCCATTTAGTGACTAGAGATCTCTCATTAATTTGTTTGTGATATCTAAACTGTAACCACTATCCAGTAGAAATAAAAAGGTGTGCTACCAAATGAAGCAGGCCACATAAATACCCTCATGGACAACCCTGGTGCTACACTGGCCTTGAACTTCTAAGTTTGAGAAGTCCACCCATTTTCAAGGCCCCAATTAATAAAATGGCCTTAGCAAAGTGAAATCAAAGGGCATCAGAGTATTCTCCTCCAATGTCTTCAAGCTCTGCTTCTACAACGTGTGCCAAAATATTTTACACAAATTAATTCTCTTAATATAAGACAGGATTTGTCACCCAACTAATCTTGCTTTGTAAAGAGTTCTGAGTGGATACTGATTCTACAAGATGTGAACATGATGGATGGTTGATTTGTCCCAAATCATATTCATTTAGAAGTTGATCTGTTGAAGTTGAATCATCCCACATGTTTATTAGATGTATCCAATTTATTAGGTTAGTCCGATACTAACTCATCCAATACACCCAACTATATCCCAAAAACAAACTGTATTTACTCATGCTCACGCACTCGTCGTGCATACGACAGAACCCATCATTAATTAATTATATCACTCTTTGCAGTGCGTTAATTCGTCAACCTTACCTTCATTATGAATTTCTCTACACTCTGTACCACATGTTTGTAAAATTTGATGGCTTTGATGGCACTCTTGGTGACCGCCGTCATCTTGGCTCTTGAGATAGGCGGCTTGCTTTCATAGAGACTGGAGAGCTGTAGAAAGAGGGCATCCCACATTAATCAAAAGTTTAGTTTACCACATTAATTCAAAATTTAGCAGTTGAGCGACTGTCTCAGATAACTACTATTGTCAGGCAGGTAAGCAAATATGAAATATTGCCCATTGGAACAACCATGAAAAGAAATGCAGAAGCAATATGTTTTACATGTGACGTACACTTTTTGTAGCAGGACCCACAGCGATGTGTCATACCTTACTTTCTAAAGTGAATGATTACTCCACTTTTTTAATATAGACCCAGATGAGCTAATTATCATTCGCCTAATCCATATAGCTCCCTAATTAGTCAAATTACTGAGTACAGGATAACCATTTTTAGCCATTTTCGAAAGTTAAGGTCTGGTTTTTGAGTGGGAAGCCAATGGCCAAATGTAATATTGGCAACTAGGAGTTTAAAATTTGATATCTGAGCTTATTGAACAAACCATTTTAAAATAGGTGGGCGCAGCATTAGAATAGCTACAACCCAAGTTTCCATGGAAACAAGTGTGGTTACCATTTGTTCTTAACAGATGAACCCTTACTCCGCAGTTGGTGGTGGGGGGGGGGGGAGGGGGTAGCGTGGAGGAAAACAGAGATGTTAATCAAAAATTCATTGTCTATTCTTGTTTGTGATTGGTCCTGCCAACATTTGGGGGATCATGACGTAGTTTCGTTATTGAGTAATTTTGTTTTCCCACCAATTGTCTTTGACAATTTTCAACAGGATTGGAACCACTGCATATAGGTCAATGTAATATCATCAAGGAGGGGCATGTACAATTAAATGGGGAGTGCTGGAGGGTAGGGATAGGGTTAGGGTTAGGGATACAAAAGGAACTCTTTCCCAAGATGTCATATGGAGCCAAAAAACAATAGCCAGAGAAAACTTCAAGTAATACGTATCTTCTTTCAACATCACGGTTTAAAAACACTTTCTGTGTCTTTTTCGCAGGACTTGCACACTCGGTTTTGACTTCTATTGAACTACATGCTTCTGAGACAACAATTTCTAGTCAATTCTTGCCTAAGTGTTAATAAATTTACACAATTTGCTTCATAATGTACATTAAACTTTGATTTACAGTTAAAATAAATAATATATTCTAGAAAATGAAAATATTGCTTTGAAGATTGTCAGTGTAAAACTCATGTTTGGTATTGTTCCGATTGTTACACACTGGGTAACAAATGGGGCAGTCGAGTTAACAGCCAGAAACGTCTCGGGGAAATACACGTGTTAGTCTTTGCTGCTTCATTAAGCGAAGGGGTTTTCGAAGGAATCGTGAACAAAACAACATAACTTTGATTTCGGCCAGTTCCGTACAAAACATACATCACTAATATGTGTAAATATTTGTGTAACGTATAATAGTTATTAATGAAACCAAGGACGATCGGTTCCGCGCACGCCACATTTCCAGGATTCGTTGACATACAGGAATTGATTGCAATAACGTTTTTTTAGTTCACTTACCTCGTTATTAAAGGCTCTGACGGCCTCCATTTTGGCCGTATTTGTTCTCAGTGATCACAAAAATCGAACAAATGAATAAAAGATTGTAAAATGGTTGAGATTTTTTAGAAATTCACCATTGATTATCATTGATAAAACCACGCAACTGAGACAAAATGGCGTGCGTTAGTGAACAGCCCATAATATGTGAATTCTTTATAAGGAGTTACTTGATTGGCCAATATTTTACCGATAGTTAAAATTGGTCCAATCAAATTTAGTTTTATATAATCTCGATTCGATGGCCAGCGAACGTGAAATAACCCAAGATGCAATTCAAAAAACACCGTGATCACAATGGCTGCGATGTTTCATTTAGAAAGTTTTTACTGGAAAAATTAATAATATAAATAGTTCAGATTCAAACGGTTTGAATTTGAACTTGATTGTACTAGCATTGAGTGGACATTTTTCCTGAGAGCCCATGGAGTAGAATTTCTTAAAATGGGGCGGAGAAACCAAACAAGACCTGGACGCAACTTCACTTCAGAACAGGTACAAAACAATTAATCAATATGTGAATTTTGATGGTACCCATCCGACAGTCACAAATAGCATCGGGATCCATGATAACAGCTCCCTGTCTGCAGAGACACACACGCACATATAAATACAATTTAATTTCCAGGACTACTAGTATATCAACTTTGCGCAAGTGCATTTTTTTAGGGGAGGGCGCTGTAGACGCTGACGTTAAGGTAGTTTTGCTGCCATTAAAACTTATCACCGGATTTTCTTGACTTTTTCCCATATGTTTTTATTTTATGTTGTTATTTACAAAATCAAAGAAAAAATGTATGCTCTCCAAACTTTTTTTTGCACAAAACACCCATGAAAATGGTGATTTTTGAGCCATTTGCCAGTAGTTTCTAGGGTTAAAAGGTTACGCCATTTCTCAAAGTTTAGTTTGGGTATAGACCTGAGTAAAGTCCTGTAGGTTGGCCTCCTTCCGCTGATCATTCGACCTCCACAGTCCTGAGAAGTCATATAGACCAGGGATTTGAAGAACTGTATTGGGCGATTTAAGAGGCATTCAGTTTTGCAGCTAAAAAATAAGCATGTCGATACATCTAACTAAATAATTTCCCATCTGGAAGTGAAATTACAGAAGATTTCCCGATAGGGTCAATCAAATCAACATTTTCCAGCTTGTTCTTGATGTATTTATAAACAAAATGTTATTTCGTTGCATAAACTAGCTTTCGTCAAAGTTCCAGTGCTGTAGCTTCATTTATCGGTCACAAGAAAGCCTCAAAGGTATTTATGATCACTAGATTGATTGATCTACATTTTGGCTGATTACAATCATGAAAAGTGCATGAAAGGCTCTCCGCCATAAATTTGTAGCCGGGTGTTGAATACCCGGTCTGTACGACTTCTCAGGACTGTGGGAGCCAAATGATCAGCAGAAGGAAGCCGTACTTAGGGCTAATTTGAAAACATATAGTGAAAAAAATAATAAATAATTTAAAATGGACTCTTATGTTTGCCCAAAATTATTAGAAAATTCTGATGAATACTATTTTATTTTTATGAAATAATGATTTAATATGAATTCCTATGGAAATAATTCTCAAACAGTCCATTTTTCATATTTTTTTAATCTAGGTAATTAATCCCAAAAGTCAATAAATATGTAACTCTTTTAAAATAAATCTTAACGTGATAGTGTTTTGACCTTGAAGTCTTGGTGGGTATATTATTGCTAGAATTAATTTTCACTGAAAAAACATTTTGGCTGTTCTGTACAAAGTTTATTACTCCCAGTTTAGACGAAGTCCTCAAACGAGGACTTGTAGATTGACCTACGTGAATGTGTGCATGTACATTTTGTTTCATGATACGATTCCAGATGGCCAAATGGCAGCCATTTAAATCAAAATCAGCATATTTTGGGGAAATTATTTTAGAAAAAGTTTATTTCATGGAAATTATTTATTTTTTTGATAATTAGCTAAAAACCAGCTCAGTCGTCATATTTTTATCATCTGTCATCAAACCACGATTATTTCTAGAAATAAGCTAAGAATACAGATCATCGGGAAAACTATAAATAAAAAAATCTTCCTGCTCACTCAGTTTCTATTTAGCTCATTACCAGAAACACCAAACTGGTTTTGAATGCCGTATTATTTAATTTGTGAAAAAGTGGCATTATACTACAAGCATGCTATAAAATATTGCAGTGATATCGAAAGAAATTCTTCAATTTGAAACAGCGCCCTCAATGGTATGATTGAGACTTACCGTACATCATCAATGTGTTCACCAGGGGTAGGATAGCCCATGGAAAGTACCTTCCATAGATAGACCATAGTGGATAGACTGGCAAAGTCAGGACTTTTTTGTTTTACAAAAAAACATAATTAATTGTCAATTTAGCCTTCTTAGCATGATTGCATAAACTAGCGTGATTGCGAAATCCATTTCTTTCTGCAAAAGGCGAAATTGACAATTATTATTTATATTTTTTTGTAAAACAAAAACAAGTCCTGACTTTGTCAGTCTAAAGGTAGGAGTGCTGGATGAATAAATGAATTTGACAGCCCAAAGGACATGTCAGCATCCCAGGGATTGGCATAAACTGACTGCATTTTAGTCATCCCTGACATAAAATTTTCTTGTGCATGTGCATATGGTAAGTATTCTTTAATCATTTTATCAAAAGTTCTCTCCGCAAAATGAGTTGTAGTACTTTTTAAATTCACAATTCTTTGTTCCCAGTTTGCCATGTTCATCCTTGAATGACAGTTTTTATCTTTGTTTATCTACCCTGCTTGTTACCATGGCTACATATACCAACAATGCGTTCAAATGTATGCTATATGAAGATGATTTATGTACAGATTATTTGTGAAAAGACCTGTAGTTGCAAATTATTTGTTATAAAAAAAAATCAGTATTTCACTAGACACGAGTTATTGAATGTCAAATACTGTGGAATACTTTATTTTCACTGGAATTAATTTTCGCTGAAAAAGCTTTTATGGGCTTTTTGTATGGAATTTATTTCACTGTTTTTTGATGAGTTTAATGTGAAATATAGGAAAAAAAGTATATTCACTGGATTTTATTTTCATAGAATCATCCCTTCAGCGAAAATAGCGAAAATAAATTCCAAGCGAAAATGAAGTGTTCTACAGTATGCAAAGAATGTCATGAGAAAAATATATTCATGAAAAAACATCAGAAATGTTGATATCTGTGAATATTTGAAAAAGTGATTTATGATTTCTCTGATCTTGTTCGAATTGGTTACCTTTACTCTAGGGACTCATCAGTGCATTACCCAGTTTTAGTGTCTTGTTTAATGTTTCTATACATGTGCATTCTCCCAAATAGTACTCAAGTATTCTATGATGTTATTGTAAGGTTGTTGCAAAATATACACAAAGACGTACTGACGAGAGTACCGTCCAATAATGTGTGATTTGATGCGACCATGGACTGTCTGAGTGCATACTTTGTGGTGATCCAAGTGTTTGGTGTAGAATTGCCAGGACTGGGTAAAAGGTTGAAAAATTGTGGATCTTTCTCACTATGAATTTTATTTTCAAAAATGGAAATCTTTCCATATTTGGATTTCTCATTGCTTGATATGGTGCAATGCTACAGAATTACGGCACACTGTAACTCGTAGTATTATGGTGACGTTGTATACCAGGATCCATTAACTACAGTATTTCAATATTTTGTTCATTATAGAAATCTTATGGTATACATATGACATATAAGATATGAGCTTCTAAAAGAGCAAATACAGTATTGTAGTAACCATTTATATTAATATATATGCAGGTCAACCATAATACTTGGTGTTTAGAATAGATATAATCCACTGAATATCTGTTGTATCAATATAATCATTATATCGCTCTAGTACCATTTTCCTATATCAGTATATGTTTGACATCCAGACAAATTGATCCAAGGCATTTACATATATTTCTAAATCGATATATTGGTACATGTAAAAACTGATTTAGATTATTTTAATATTTATAGAAGTAATAATTGAATATATAAAAAAAGCAGTTAATTTAATTCTCTGTAATATTGGCATGAGACCAATTATATAAATACTACCTAGTTAGTAATTAATAGTGTATACACCTGTCTGTATGCTATCTCACATTAGATCTCTGCCGCTTCCCGCATCTCGTAATTCATCTCGGCCATTGAGGCAATTGCTTAGATTCCCTCACCTGAATGCACCTTTAAAATATTCAAATATTTCAATCAGTCAAGGGCATTTTTTAGAAATGATGATCTTGAAATTAAATCCCCTCAGAATACTGAAGTATACTAATTAGTTTTGGGGCTTGATATGTAGGTCTTAAAAAAAGGTTTGGCTAGCCGCTGAGTGCAACATACATGTCTATTTGATGATGATTTCTTGAACAAATAAAACAGTTAACAAATTTGCATGCAATTTGCCATAAAGATTTGAAATATTATAGCAAACAGAACTATCAGTATCAAAACTACTGGGTATAACGTTTAATTTGGTTGGATGAATGTATTGATGCAACCAAGTCCAAGCTTGTACAGCCCCAAATGTATTGTCACATGTACATCATACTTTGTATACAGATAAAATTGCATGATGGGAAGTTAAGGTTTCCAGTCATAAATTTAGTGTACTGCCGGTATGTATGTGTATTCAGTAGATGTCCAGTTTGTTCTGTTACCATAGTAGCATATGCGTTTAAGACAGAAGTATATGTCTATGGTAAAAATATGTCATTTTAAAGATTTAGCTTACAATTAATGCAGTTTTTTGGTTTATTTGTGCTTCAATCAGAGATACATCCAATAGAGCAAATACTGTATGTTTTGACTCCTGTGTGCAAAATAGCTTAGGGAGCATGCATGTGTTGTTGAAAGTGATTATACTATAAAAAAGTTACAAGAAACCTGCGTTGTATTCGCAGTTTGGTCCATTCTCCACATTGAAGCTCCCTCAATGAAAAACATAGAAGAATGTGTGTGAGATACACAAACAATTTTGTTGCTGGCTTGTATTTCCAGAGGGCCTGCCATTATACGGGTATTAATAGATCACCGTCTAATGTGGGCTGAATCGATTCTCTAA